AGTGAGTATGTCGCTCCAGAGGAATAAAAATCTTTTAAAAAAAGGATCGAGTTTGAATGTTGCACCAATTGGGTTGGTTTAGCCCATAACCGACGTAAAGTAGAAGATAATTTTTTTAAGAATCAAAGGAAAGTTTTTAAACAAAATGATGATAGACTCTGGCTATCCTGAGATGAGAGTGGAAGGTTAAGACTTGCCTTCCAGTGAAAATACCACGAATTTACAACATTAATAAGATTTAAGATGTCTTTGCGAAAGTAGATCTTCTCAGGAATTTAGTAAAAAAGAATTAATCAGATAATAATTAAGCTCTTGAGTTTTATAACACTCCAATATAGATACCTTTTTTAGGTGTTTAGAACAATTGGCAAATGTTTCAATTGGAAAGCTCTTGTATCTTGCATTTTCGTAAACTTCCAGCGAAAAACAGCCGTGCTTATTCTCCTAGGTACAATATCGCATTTCTGCAGAGTTTTAGCAAGGTGTAGGACACAAGGAAAAGGAGAAATATTAATACCTCAATAGCAATTTGTTATAACTAAAATTCATCAGATTGTATCCTTTGCGACTACCTAAAGATAGAAATTGACTCGATGAAGAGGACTCTATGAAGTAACGCATAAAGAAAGTAAACATGGCAGAATTCTAGTGGAAGCACTGATGATGGCCTCATATGGAAAGTTACTTCGGAGAGAGGCATTAGGATAGGCAAACTCCCGTTTTTCTTTCAAGTTTTACTTAAGGGAAACTGTAATTGCGATGTGAACTAGAAGAGGGAAGCAAGCTCAACATTAATAGGTACAGAAGCAGAAAATTGTTCTAATAATAGGCTGCATGCTGTATCAAACCAGTTAGTTTCGTAGATTCTGTGACTGAATGGAACAAGGTCGTAGTGATATGGTGACAACATAGATGTATAGGGATTTGAGAGGAGCAGAGGTGACAGCATCACGTGTGATGCACTTTGGTCAGTTGAATGACGTTTTTATACCAATTCGGGAACGATCACATATATAAAACCTGTCTTAAAGTCTTTTGAAGGAAAAATGGATTTCAAAGTCATGTCTGTCCATTGCAATCCTTCGGACAAAAAGGTGCGACACTTCCGTTCGATCTAAATCTCACCTTTGCAAGCTGAAAAAAAGCAAACCGTGCAGAAATTCTTAGAAACGGCAAAAACTCAATGGAATGTCAAAGTTATGTAAGGAAAATTATTCAGCTAGTGGCTACTTCTTCTCTCATCAATTCTAAAAGTTTGGGAATGTATATAATGTCCGCTTCAGACAAATTTCAATAGGTTTAAAGATTAACTAGTATCTCTAGAAATGATATAAAATAAAACTAATAGGCCAGGCATAACTATTTTCTCAAATATTTATCATTATAAGTAAGAAGAAGATCTTTAGCAGTAACTATAGAACTAAATACTGGTGCTAAAATTGACCGCTATCGATACGACATCACCTAATTCCCGGTCATCTCCTCGTCCTTTGTGCCTACCACACTACCTGCTGTTGTTTTTATCTGCTCGTAACGCTACGTAAAAATCGTTGAAATTTTTTCATATAAAATATGCAGTTTTTAGAACACGATCAATAGTTCATTGAATATAATTCATTACTTGCTAATTGATTAAGGCTACATTTATAATAAATTTACTTAGCTATGAAAACTTTTCTATTAAATAAGAACAATTTAATTTTCCGCCTTCCTTCCTTACCAAATCATTCTGCAGAACTCCAACATACACACAATACAGTGCAGCATCTTAGATTAGAAACAAAACGGAGTATTTGAGTTTTGATCGGTTTTTGTTTGTTACCTGACAAATCTCTACTGGGCAAGTGTAATCTAAAATCCATAAAGAATCAAACTTTTTGGAAACGACAAATGTGCAAGAAAGAACATTACATTAGTATGGCCATGACCTGGGAAGAAGTTCGATGATGTATTTGCACGAACGTTGCAGAATCGGTCAAGCGCTCGTTCTCCAAACCAGCCTTTACCTTGGCTTTCTCCTTTTATGCAGTCCTTTCACCATATTAAGAACAACGGTTTTGTGCTTTGGTAGAGTATGAACCGTATCACACAATCAATTATGCGCTATCATCATTGTTAGACAAGGTTGGTAGTTATAGTGGAACCATTTCGTTGATAACCAGAGAAGTTTATAAATATTAGGTTTGTTCAATGTATTTTTAAAATTTACATCAACTGTATCAATCACACTATAGTGACTACTGTCAAAGTGGGAGAGGAATCTTTTCTTTCATTTTGATATGCGACATTTTACTGTTTTCTTTTACTGAATATACCAGATGATTTTCACAAATCCTCTCATAGGCAATTATTTTGTAGAGTTTCGTTTAATATTTAGAAAAAGACAATAAAGAATGAAACTGTTTTTGAAGTGATTATTCAAATATCATTTTTATATTTTATTATTATTTATACACTCATATAATGCAATCAGCTGTAAATTACCTATTATATTGACACAATTATACGATTACTTACAAATGAGAATACCAAAGCTTTGTAAAATGTGAATGCA